TCGGAAGAAACTGACTTTTACCCAGTGATATATAACAATTGATGGTAGTACCTCATATACACATCAGACATATTTCACAGCCAGCCGTGGTATAATACAGATTGTTTCTAATTATTAGATATAATATATCAGATAGAATGATAAAATGTTCTACTCCAGGGTAAGAACCTACAGTAATTAGACCTCGTCATGCTGATGTTTCATTACAGGCTCTCTGAAGGAGTGTTTGGGAGTGAAACAGTGTCAACCCCTTTATGAACCATGCTGAATGTGGAACATTTTCTCAATCAAAACCAAAAGCAGTGAAATCTGCTCTAAACTGCACCCCAGCCCCCCCTCCAACCAACCCCTCCACTACCTCTTAACCACCAGCAAATTGTGCAGGAGAGCACCTGAGCGGAGGAGAGTACAGCTTTTATTAATCTTTCTTTTTCTCAATTCTTTGAGTCTGACAGCTTTTAACTGAATTGTCTGCTCGGGTCCGTGTAGACCCGCGGAGTCCAGACACAGGCCGGTGAACGCTGTGACATCTCCACTCCCCTCAGCTCTAGTGCTGCTGCCTTCATCCAATTTACCATGAAAGGAATCCAGACAGTCCCATAATATGTCCCACGGCTGCCTCAATTGAACACGGTCAACAACTCTGGGCCTGGGCTTCACACACATAACCAGCCGGCTATCTACAGAGGACCATTGGCTGCCTGCTACCCTCGATAAGGCCCATTGCCCAGGGAAAGACTGGGCAGGTCCGTCTGTCGGCATTTTATAGTGAAGAGCGCCCCCTGGTGCCTCTGTGGGCACAGCACAGTTACAGGGGCAAGTGAGTCCTCAACACATCGGCTCTAACTGTGGTGGGGGGGTTTCTACTGTCGGACACAGATTACAGCAGTGTTTCCTCTCTAATTTCACGCAGCAGCGGTGCTTGGGGTGATTTTTTTGTTGTTTTTATTCCACATCCATCCTCGTGTCAGTCACAGTTATCTTTCTAATGCAGGCGACTGCAGTGAATGTTTTTTCTTCACACACTTTATCACAATGAAAACATGATTTGTCAGCGTTAGGGCTGTACCTCCATTTGTTTTGAGGGGAAATGAGAAAAAAATATATAGAGCTAATTTAATGTCTCTTTTTTTTTCTTGCTGTGGTTGTTTTTCTGGTGAATAATGAGAAATAAACGCTATGTCACCCATTATAATTAAGCCCCCAGTTTCTGGCTGAATGTTCGTAAGTGAGTGGTTTTCCTGCTGTGTGAAGATGTGTTGGACAGAAACTGCAGGGATACTGATTTACAGTTTTAATCATTTAACTGTCCAGAGATAATAGCTGATAAGTCAGAGCTGGGAACATTCAGTCACCCACTCTCTAAGAAGAGACAAAAACACAACGTCTGCTCATTTTCTTCTAGTGGGAAGATGTAACAGCACATGAATCTGCAAAAAACTGGAGCTTTGTAAAAACAGCTAACACTTTACTAGCTTTTACAGTCACATGAACAAATGCTGCTCTGGGGTTTTTTTCCCCTCTTTCCTTTTAAAGATATACAAAGTAATGAAATACATAAAATGCCAGGGGCAACATCAACATCCCTGTAGCTGTTTTGGCAAATTTACAAAAATGCCGAACACTGGCACAAATTTCCTGCTCCTTCAATCCAAAAAATACTCCTTATCTCCCAAAATCCTCCTGTGCATCTCTCGCTGTGTATCTGAGAATAGAGAAACGAAATGAAGCAAGAAGACAGTGAGACACCTGAAATACCTTTATTTACTAGGCTGAAAGTGTGTGTGTGTGTGTCTCTCTCAGTGTGTATCATTTTCCGGAGTGTGACAAATTGGGGCCCTCGGCTCTGTGATAGAGGGAACCAGGAACAGCGAGCTTGCATTATTCATGAGGAGCGGGGATGTCGAGCTGTGATACGGTGTCTACTACCACAACAACGCTACAGTCAGAATGTCAAAATGTACGAGCTTATACATTTCCCCTATCTGAACCCACACTGATGAACAGGAAACTGAAGCATTGTGGGGCCGGATAATGAGAATGGTAACGGCTTTTGTTTTTTTTTGTGGAGAGAGCGGGCTTACAATACGCTTACTCACTTTTTTGAATAAAAAGAAGACAAGTAATGATGATTTTTGAGTATGTATAGACCTATTCAACACACTGTATTATAATGAAGATATTTTCAGAGCCCAGCACGCTGTATGAAACACTGAAGTTGTTCAGATTTTGTTCTGATTATTTGCAGAAGAACAGCGCACTCTTGTGGTAGACTTTGTTTTATCTTTTGTCTTTGACATTTTATTTCATCACTACTCTGCAGGGCGCCTGTTGAAAAACGGCCTTCTATCTGTGGAATATAGATCCAAAAGTCATTCTCTATCAAAACATAAAGCCACTTCATCAATTTATTATTTCAGTCTGCCTATTTTGTTGCCAGGGGTGACTCTTTTGTCATTTTGAATTACAGTTTTTAATCTAATGGTATAAACGGAATGTTTTATTCATAGTTCCTTCCTTTCAGTTATTAAAATATAAGCAAATCTCAGCACTTGTGGTGAACGATGAGGCACAAATGAAATGTTTTACTTGCAGGAGAAATACACGAGCTCACAGTCATCATTTTTCTTATTATGGCTCTGTGGTGCACAGTGAGTTAGAAATATAGATTATTACAAAATGAAATAGCTAATGTAAGAAACAAATGAGAAATGAAATAAATGAGAATAGTGATAAATGAGAGTTGGGACTTGCACTATTCTCACAGCTCTGGGTAACGAGACAATACAAAACAAGTAAATAAAAGCAAGGCGAGACTTCAATATCTCTTTTTTATTAATTCTGACACACTGCGGTCAGATAGAAAAGTATGAGAGTTACACTTTTCAAGTTGCTTCCATGACTTGTGCAAACACTAGACGGTATCTGGGGGAAACTCCTCTGAGGGAAAAACCAATTGGAAAAGAAAGACATCAAAATGCAGAAGAAATGAATAAGTGCATTTAAACCTAGGTGTTGATTCTTTATGCAGTATTTATTGATTCCCAGCTTCATATAAACTGGATGTTGAGGCATAAACATAGTACATTTGAACAAAAATATAACCAATATTTACAATTATTGTATTAAAAATACAAAAACAACTGATACGTACTCCACCAATTGTCTTTTTAAAAGACATACAGGTCAAAGTAGTACAAGAAAGAATGAAGAAAAAGAAGGTCATCACCAGCTAAATGTACATTTCTCACTGACATCACACATCAAACGGAGTAGCAGTTCTACCTACTACACTTATCTTTACGCGTGTACATTTTTGTGCAAGTTTTTGTTTTTCGAAGTCGGACTTGGCCCGCTAATATGCACATTATCTTCAGAGTTGAATGAAAGTGAATGATGCATGTCACCACTGTATTACAAACAAATTATTAACAATCTATCTGCAGCCATTACAAAAAACTACAATAACAAAAGAAACCCAAGAAATTATTAGTGTGTAGTCACAGAACACAGTGGAAAACACTGCACTCATCTTTTTCTCAGTCTGTAGTTTCCAAGACTGATCAATGTGATCAGTGCGACTCAGTGATAGAGGAAAACAAAAAGTTACTTTTCACAATTGGATTTCTAATCATTCTGATTGGCAGCCTCGGAAAAAAACAAAAGATTTCTTCATATGTCAACTTCCCCACCGGAGTCAAAAAAACAAAAACAAAAAAACTTCAGTCACTTCCATTGATGGCAAGATATGGTGGAGAGCTGGATGCAGGCGTTAGCGATATACATACAGCATCCACTGAGCTGATGTCAACAGGTGAAGAGTTTCTGAGGATGATTCTATTAGCACAACAGCAGAGGGAGAGGTGTGGGGTCGCTTCGTGTGGAGACAAAAACATCTACGACGCTGTAGCGTGTGATGGCCGCAGCGAGTCTGATGATGCCGTCTGAAGTCACGTGAGAACAAAACGGTAAAGAGAACGCTGGGCTTCGTCTTGTACTGAGTCTTAATGTATTAAAAAAAGTCTGGGGAAGTATCTTGAATAAGGCATTTCACTCTGCTATTGCTTGATTCAAGACTGCTCTTGAAACAAGGTGATTTTTGTGATGGGAACAACCACGCAAAGAAATGTATGCAATCATGGCATCGTAAGGCGCTTTGGACATTCACAAAATGTGGCATATGTTCAGGTTGGAAAAAAGCCAAATCTGAATTTGTGGATGCTTTTATTTTGAAGGGAGATATGGGTATTATAAGACTCTGTACAAGATCATTTGTAAAGGTTAGGGCTACAGTCACAATTTACACGTTGGCAGCTTCTGAAATATGCTGATGGTCGGTGAGTGCTCGCTCACAGTTTGTACTTTGATTCACAAGTTCCCGTCCCGCCAGCGTCCACACCTGACATCAGCTTTTCATTTGGGGGGAGGGGAAAAAAAAAGGGGGGGGGGGGAACCTCCAGGATTAAATCTTCTCCGCTGCAGCTGCACTTTGTGATTTAGT